ATCTACAACAGGTAAGATAGTAACTGTTCATAACCTTTTTCACAAAACTTCATTTAAAAAAACAAGCAACAATATTGAGTCAGAACACCAACATGTTCTCTTTAAGATTAAGGAATTTTGAACTGGAGATGAATCAGCGAGGTAAATAAAAAAGGGACTACATCAGTGTACTTCAGCTGACTACAAATGTGTGGCTGTGTACCTAAACACACAGCAGCCATTCAGCTGAGCCMCCAGCCCCCAGCCCCCCACCCTCAGTGTGGAGTTGCTTGGTTGGATGCAGCAGCTCCTCAGTCTGTATCCCGCTTTGCCTGACAGACAGAACAGAGGCAGCCCTCCTCATCAACCTGCCTCTTCGGGTTTTTTTTTTTTTTTCTGCCAGCCTGTTAATGTTCTTGACCTCATGAGCCGAGAAAAAATAAATAAAACCACTCCAACATGGAGACCACAGAGGACCTTCTGGAGCTCTCACCCTCGAAGGAGACACTCACCGGGGAAATAAGGCGTGAAACAGGACCAACAACAACCCGGTAAAATAAAGACAAAAAAGATAAAACAAAAAAGACAAACAAAAAACGCTTTTTATAATTCCAGTGACAAACCCGACTGTGACCCTCTTCCTCCTCCTCTCCACGAAAACATCCTCCCGACTCCGATGCCCTGCTCGAGAAGTTCCGGAGAAGCCGCGGATAAATCCTCCAGTTCGGAAGAAGCCCAGGTAATACACGGCACCGCGGAGACCCGAAACTGTTGATGTAGCTTCGGGTGAATGTTTGCGTCTGCCTGCCTGCCTGTCACCCACAGGATGTCCGTGTCTGTGTGAACGTGTTTCACAAATTGTGAGGCAGAAGGTGAACGTTTTGTCCGAAGTGGGTGGGAAGGTGACTCATTCTGCTTCAAACCATGTTCTGGTGCCAGTATTTACTCTGCGCCCGTTTCTTTTATTTTTTTAAAGGTTTTTTTTTTTTTACAGAGCAGCACAGCAAGGAGGGTGCAGGCTATTTCATGAACAATTTCAGTCACTCTCACAACACTTCAGCCTGTGTCTGAGTGGTTTAACAAATCATGATGTGAATAATAGATATCTGGGATGCTGCAGCTCCCTCTTCACGGTTAATTTGATCACTTCATTAATTGACAAGCAGAACTGATCAGTAGAGGTTTGATTTATCATTTGACTTCTTACCATTTTCTGCAGCCTGTTTCAGATGACACTACATTGCTGCCATACTGCCTTGGTTGTATTTTTTAGCTTTTTTTCTGATTAAACCCAATATGGATCCATGGTTCCTAGTGCTATAAAACATTACAATTCTTTTGCAGGTTTCTGTCTGATTCATTAGGAAAGCAGGACATTTTATCGTATTTTAAATCTGTATGTTGCACATTGACAAATTTAACTTTTATTTTCTGGATCTGTCTCCCAACGTGGGTTATGAAACACCAAGTAAGGCGGTCTTGATATGATTTTCAAGATTCGTAATAGTACATTTTTGTGATAATTGTTATAAAAAGCTGCAGTTCTGTAGTTTAAAAATGGCTAAACATTTCACAGTTGTTAAGCAATGTCTGCATCTGTGATAGTTTGGGTTGTAAGCATCTTCAGCTGTTTTTTTTTTTTTTTTTTTTTTGTGGGTCAGAAGCTAAAAGTTTTGGAAACCACTCTTCTAGTGTCCTCAATGAAAATGTTTCTTTTGACTCTTCTTTCATCAAACACTGTATCTGTTTTAAGCAATGTTTTTTAAACCTTTATTATTTACAAAAATGATGGAAGAAACATTTTACCCTAACTATCACTGTTTGAAACAAGTAAACAACTCCAGGCCAATCAGACAAGGACATTATGGCAACAAAACCAGGGGGATTTATTTGACAGTTTTTACCCATTTATGTGTACAGTSGCAGATATTGTGAATATTTTTTTTTGCATCTATTTCATTGACAGAGATCAACTTGGCACTTTTACTTTCCCAGAATTAAGAACCGGTGTTTTAAAGGTTTAAAACGCCCAAACTGGGTTTATAACAGGGTTGAGCTTACATACAGTTGCTGTTGGATGTATGAGTAATCTGTTTGGTGACAAAGGACAATGATATGTTTCAACCTTTCTTTCTCAAATATTGATTCAACTTTTGAATTTTAGAAGGGAAAAAGAAAATGGCTCAGCTTTAGATCACTCCCCATATTTACCAGGTCACTTAATCCACAAACTTAGATGCATCCCTTCTGTGACGCTGTTCTCGGAACTGTTTGTTTCTCAAAGCAAGCAGGGTGGTGGTGGTG